CATATCTCCACATTGTGGCCTTGCTAACTCTGAGACTCATTTTTGTAGTACAAACATCAGTTGAAGTTTGAGAAGCCTTCTTGAAATGTCAGTTTTTGTTTCTTGGAAGCCCCCTCTGCTCAATTTGTTCCTCTAAGTATGGACAAAGGATCTCTTAGTATCATCTGCCCCGTTCCTCCTTGGCCCTACCTAATAAGATAAACACAAATTTAAGGCTGTGAGATGTGACTGACATTTGTAGAATATTTCTTTCATTTGAATTATCATTAGAAAAGCGTGAGATATATTTCAAGATATTGTCACACTCTTCACATAGAATTTCTCTATGAATTCTTTTATGTACTGAAATGAGTAGTGGTGGTTATAGGACTGGACACTTCCCTCATTTATAGGTGATTTCTATGTTATAATTTTTTTATTTATACAATGATTTAAGCACTAAACAGTTGTCAAGCTCTTCCCATTTGTAGATTTTCTCTTCAACATGAATTCTGTTGTGTACAGGAAACAGTGCCTCCTGGCATGAGGCTTTGCCACATCTTCACATTGTTTCCATTTTTCCTTCTGTGGTTTCTCTTATGTTTACTAAGACTGAGGACCACTGAAAACCTTTGCCACATTATTGACATTTGTCAGATTTCTCTCCACTGTGAATGTTCTTATGTGTAGTAAGGTTTGAGCTCTGGTTAAGGTCATTGCCACACTGTTCATTTTTAGGATTACTCTCCAGTTTGAATTCTTCTATGCTTAGCATGCTATGAACACCAGGTACAGGCAGTGCCACAGTCTTCAAATGGAGGTTTCTCGCCTGCGTAATTTCTTCTCTGTACAGTGAGGATTGAATGTGAGTTAGAGTTTGTCACACTGTCCATATTTATAAGGTTTCTCTATAGAAGAAATTCTTAAATGTCTAGAAAGGTTCACACCTAATGAAAGTCTATGCCACATTTTGACCTTTGTCGAGTTTCTTTCTTTCTTTTTTTTTTTTTTTTTTGAGACAGAGCCTCAAGCTATCCCCCTGGGTAGAGTACTGTGGCATCACAGCT